CCCGAGGATTCACGAAGCTTCGAGAATATGACGTGTTACTAGCGTCACGTGACCTCGATGACGCAACAGTGCCTTATTTTCACTACTGGGGTGCATTTTATGTATATGTGTATTAAAAACATAAAATAAGTGATTGAAGTAAAATGAAAATAAAATAATTATCTTGTTTTAAATAATAATTTGCTTGATCTTTCTTTTTTGATATATGGCGACAACTTGCGGTGGCGTTACTAGACATAAGCAGAATAAATAATTGCTTAAGGACCCCAATTCATGGAATTTTTTTAAACAGAACTTTGACTTTTGTCTGTTTTAGTATTGTACTCATTTGAAAAACACATACAAACAAACAAAAACAGATGTTTTCAATGAAAGCCATAAAAAAAAAAACCTATCACTCTGTAACGGACAGATGTTTAAAAATTACTGCAGCATGACATTTCTCAGCCAGGCACACTTGTGATGCGCGTACCTGATTGGTTTCGTAGTGCATTACGTACACAATGAATATGGGTTGAGAAACATACCCGCGTAGTGGTGTTAGTGTGTGTGGGTAGAAATTACTTTTTATCAAGTGTAGTATGTGTTGTGTTGGTGTATTTTTTGGTTTGTGTAAATATTACAATTAGTATATTTATAGGTTTGGTGAGAGGATCCAAAACTACTCCTGCTTAGAGTCCCCAGTAAGCTAGTACTACCCCTGCGCCTATATATATATGTATAGGGCACCACTGGAATTGTGGGAGGCGTCCCAAGCGCTCCCTCCTCTGGTCCACCTGTGGTGCAAAATGTTTATTAATTCTCTATGACATTCTCTGTCAAACCTCTTGTTAGAGCAGTTATCATTTTTACTGGGAAATATTAAATACCAGTTTTATGAACAGGGTAATCATTATTGCAAGGCAAAACAAGTATTATATGTATATACATATATATTCGCATAAATATAGATAAAAACAGCAACAGCACATCAACATGATATTTGTGGATTATTATGCTGAAGTGATCTTACTGTTTTTTTTATGAATTTGCACAAATCAATTCTTTTTCTTCAAATATGTAGTATCATATGTTTATAAAAATTAAACTACAGTGTACTACACAAAGAGATTCTCACGCTTGTCGATAGAAACTCTTTGTTAGGTGACAATCTACATTATTTTATTTCTAATTGGACAGTTTGCTTAATAATCACGAAACGAGCCCCGAAAACACAGGCGGGTTCAGATAGGCAACGCGTTTAGGACAACATGACTTGCAACCCCCTCCCCTCCCTCCGCATCGTGGTGGTCACGTGTCAGTACTAAACGTTCCGTGTAGAGTCTTTGGTTTGGTGTGTGTTCATTCTGCTTCTTATAATCTATTAGTGCACGCGTTTACTTGTAGTCCCGTTCTTCTCACCTATTCCAAGAAAATGAACTCTTGCTTAGGAAGGATCGTTTTTCTCATCTTGCTATTTGTATTGGAACACCTCAACACAAGTAAGTTACTGTAGTTGTAATTTTTTCAAGCCTACAACTTTTAGTTTTAGGTGAAAATAATATATATATAATTCACTATTATTATTAATTATTTCATAGCATAAGTGAGGTAACGCTAGATAAAATTAAAATGATTTTAAAAATAAAACACGCATAATACGAACACCATGAATGCTATATTTTAATGGATTTTTTTCTTTTCTAGAGAAATTTTAGAATGTTTTAAAGTCTTAGCTTCCAGCTATTAATAACGTTTATTGTCCTAGTCATTCTACCTTAGACGAGAAATTTTATTGCATTTATCCTTTTGTATAATGATAACCAACGTTAGGATATTGGGGGGAAACATCTCATTTATGTATAACATTTGTGCATATGAACCTTTCTACCGGACAGTTGTTTTCTTAACACTGCAAATGCGAATAATGATTACATTTTAATTTTACACCTTATTATGAGCCGCACTCTCCACGAACATTACCTAATTCTGAGATTTATAAATGACTTAAACAAAACTGACAATAATTATAATTATCTTACTGAATTTAGTTCATACCATAACAACCGTTGTTCATGAAATTGATGATATAAATAGCGTCTCGACCACTATTATATCTGTTGTATCCCAGCCGATCTGATGAGCCCTGGTATTATGCGAAAGACCGCGTCGGCACTGGATGTTCTTCTTTTATTTCACTTATGATTTCTTAGAATGACATTTTGCTGTATTTTAGCAAATTTCAACGCTGATTCTTTTAACAACTTATTGATTACGCGATACAAGTTAAACACATTTTAATGTTTAATTGCACTTATAGGCAACATGTTCTCATTACACAGTATAAAAGTAAATGTTACACGTGTTGATCAAATGATATTTATTTAACACATCTTAGCGCTGAACTGCACCTACCATCACCATAAATTCACTATACAACTAAGAATAACAGTACAGAAGTGTGCCTTATACTTACTAATTAGGTAATAAACATTTAATACATTTTAGCGCTAAATTCTACGACTATTATTTAATATATTGGTTTCAATGTAAATTCTAATTTTATGAGCTTTTCTTTCATACAATGTTTAAAACTCTTATTCTTATAAGTTTTTTTAACTACGACACACACACACACACACGTATTTAAATTTGTTATGTACAACTCAGTCCTAAAAACCATTTAAACACAAAAAGTAGCTCCTATCGGCCACAAAAACGTTTTTATTGAGTTGATATTCGTGTTCTTTTGACTAAACCACGAATAAGTTACACCACATTTATCAAAGGAATTTTTTTTCTTATCTTAATACACCATATAAATATTTTGATTTATGTGGGGTTGTCTTATAATAGTTTTACAGTGGTTTTCTACTAAAGTACACTATCTGGCTGTGTAGCGTCAAACATATTAGCATCATAATGTGAATATTTAAAATAAGCATATTTGTAGGGGTGTGACCACAATATAAGTAAAATATTACAAACTCAGATGTCTTTTTCATCATATCACCCGATTTCTTTCGTTTGATCTTGGGGAGAGGCTTTTGTTTTGAGCTCAGTTGAGCTTCCACATCATGTAACACGTATTTTACATTTTGAATGATGTACTTTCGACTGATGAACGTTGCTTTGTTTCGTACCGTGTTTGGGTGGAAGAGGAAGTAAGAATAACAACAACAACAAAAATTACATTACTAAGGAGTATTGGAAAAAGGCTCCTTTTTTTGTATGTTTACATCTACACTCGCCTCAAGGGCATTTAGACTACGAGTAGTTGCTGGATACGGTCTGTAACGAACAGGTGGTAAGAAGTGTGATTAACTAAGCGTATACCTCAATAGTTGCGTGTACACGAACATCTTGCGTAACAAAAGTCACATTGAACCTGCTGAACATTTATAGTACCTTAAGAAGGATATAGCACTTTCTGGGATAAACTCTGTGCATAATTTAAAAAAGAGAGATAATTTTGTACATTACATAGAGTTTTACTTCTGTCACACATAACTATAATTTTAAATTTCTTACTTTCAGGATGGTAAAATCGTAAAACACAGCTTTATGGAAATACTTTAGAAATTATAGCGAAGCTGTGTGATTGCTTCAGATATTCGCTAAGACTACACAAAGGCACGCTAAGCCGTCCCTGATTTTGAAGTGATAGACTAGACTCTAGAGAAAAGGCAGCTGGTCAACAACACCTATCGATAGCTCTTGGACTATTCTAATCGAATAGCGGGATTTTACCTTCATTCTTAAGATGCACCCACGACTCCACAGGGCGAAGCATGATTTTGAAGTAATAGATACGAACCACAAACTCTAGGATTTATAGTCCGGCATGCTAAAATTAGATCACGACCGACCTATAGTATTAGTACTTGTATATGCTTCATTAACCGTATAGGGAACACTATTATTACAAAAATTACCATAAAACATATCTATACGCATTTTTATATGTAGACCGTACAATCAACTATCAGCATTCACTATCACTATTTCATCATAGTATTTAACAGATGTTGAAAATATATAGTTCTGTACTGATTTTCTTATGAAAAAGTGGAAACGGGGTATTTAATGCAAAGTAATTTTGTCGACAGTTTACTAGCCTGTAACCCTGAAGATTCAGGCAGGTTTAATCGGTCAAACTTATTCCTACGTAGTTTGAAAAGAATGTTATGTTATCATATTGAGATGGGATTAAATATTCCTAATGATTATATCACTTTGGTGTATTCAGATATTATGTTAACATTACCATATCAGTGTTCTTAGTATTGAAATACTTGGCGTCTTTAAATGAAACCTAAATTAGGGGTCTAAAGTAAATCATAAAATTTCGCACATTAGTGACAGTTCATGTGTCGAATATTATTTCCTTCGTAATACTGTCAAATTATGAATGTATTATAGCATTAATTATCAGAATACTGTAACAAACGCACGAAAGAGAATAAAATAAGCATTTTTTTCTCTCTCGACTGGTTCATGTTTTAAGACCAATGCTTTTATAGTCTTACTTTTTAAATGTTTGGCGTGTATAATGGAAGAAAGCTATACAATTGAACTGTTTAATTGCTCCAGCTGCCACAAAAAAAAGCTTAAAAGGATGAATCCACGTGAATAATAAGAAGCGTCACTATAAATGACTTAACCCTAAAAAGTGTATGTGCAACCATCTATTTGAACTGTTGTTCTTGTTGTATTTCGATGCCTTGCTCTCTTCACTCCATCCATGAAGAAAAAATGGGGGAAGGTTTACATCTGTCTATTTATACTATGGTGAGTAATGTAACTATGTGTAAGTGTGGTCACGAAGAGTAAAATTGTTATCAAGAATCATTAACCATATCAGAGAAAAATCCCCACACCACCCCTGTGCCTCGGCGGTAAGCCTGAAGACTTCTAACGCTAAAATTCGGGTTTCGATATCCTTGGTGGGCATAGCATAGATAGCCCATTGTATAGCTTTGTGTTTAACAACAAACAAACAAAGAAGGTTAGCTATATCTGTTTAGTAAATGAATCATACCTAATTCATGCTATTGTAAACAACGTATAAGAGTTAATTATAAATACGAAGGATATATATTTTGCTTGTCTAGCCATTGAGATTTATCTACGTACTCTCTTGGTATTGTATTGAACTGAGCAAACTAATGTTACAACGACATCCTCTTCATCTCTCATGAGCGTTTGTTTGTTTTTAATTTCGCGCAAAGCTACACGAGAGCTATCTGTGCTAGCCGTCCCAAATTTAGGAGTGAAGGATTAAAGGAAAGGCAGCCAGTCATCACCACTCACCGGCTAACTCTTGGGCTACTCTTTTACCAATGAATAGTGGGGTTGACCGTCACATTATAACGCCCCCATGGCTGAAAGGGCGAGCATGTTCAGTGGGACGGGATTCGAGCCCACGACCTTCAAATTGCGAGTCGAGCGCCCTAACCACCTGGTCATGTCAGGCCTCTCATGAATGCTTTCTCAGAGATATTCTGTACTTAATTTTTTAAATAATAACATTTTTAATTCAAAGTTTTCTGCGTGGTTTATGATGTGGGCGTATTTCGAGAATTTTTTTATTTATTTGGTTCTCTTTTTATTCAGGTCCTATGCAGGTTGCAGTAATTGTGTAATCTAAAGCTGTTGTCTTATTCTAGAAAATATTCCGCAAAGCCTACTGTATACTGTTGAATAGAGAAAAGGAAAACGTTTATATTAGTGTACTTAAGACCGGTTATCATGATAATGTTGTTTTGGAGAAATTGAGGTCAGTAAATATCAGTTTTTTCCTCACAGGACAATAACCTTCTTACCTTTTGAAAACAATCTCTCTCTCTCTCCAACCGAAAAGTTAACTACTTGATATTGGATATTATATTTTATCTTATCATTAGGCACTTTTATAGCATTTTTATCTGTATTATCGGGGTTATTGTTGTTCAGTACTAGATATTAAATATCAACAAGCTTTTCTAGTGTTTGTTTGTCTGGTATCACTCCATGTCATGCCCGTTTATTCTCTTTTTCTGTGTCCTACAAAGTTGATTTCTAGTGAGTTTAATGTTGAATTTATTTCCTTAAGGATATTTTTATAACCTGTGTGTGGAATGTGCTGACAAGTTATGAAAATATCCTTGACAAAAAAAAACAAAAAACGCAAAGTTCAACTCATTAGAAATCACCTTTGTTGGACACGCACATAAAGAGAGTGTACATGGACATGACATGGAGTGATAACACACAATATTAGACTTAAGCAAATACTAGAAGGGCTTAAAGATAACGAGTTTCTTGTACTCATTAACCGTAACTACGACAGAACAGATAAGGCATGCTATAAAAACGTTTTCACACATGGAGCTTGATAAATTACTTTAATATCTAAAAATTTTATGATTTAATTTTATATTATTCTTTAGTAAATATATATATATATACATATTTGTGCTATGTATAACCCTCGTCAACTGATTTGTGTTCTACTAGTACAAAAATGGCATATTGTATTTGTAACTGTTTTGGGGTATTACACGAAAAAAAAAAAAGACTTAACGTGCAGCGTTGATGCTTATTAATTGCTTGCCTTTTTGGTTTTGTAGTAAACCCATTGAATCAAAAGGCTTAGCTATGTATCAGATTGTGCTGGTGCCTTTTTGTTTGTTTGTTTTACAAACATTAAAGAGACTGCAGGTTTTCATAGTTGCAAAATACAAGTTTTTGAATATCAACTTGAATTCGTTTTCGAAATATATAAAATTGATTTCATTCAGAACGTTTGAGTGCTCTTTGTAGCTTTAACTTTTTGTTATTTCGAAAGGATGTTTCTATTTTGTTTTTAGTGCAGGTTATTTTTTACGTCACTAATAGATCAATGTGATAATGTGAAAAAAACAACAACAAATAAACAAATGAATGTGTAAGAGCAAAAAACTTTGTTAATTCGACAAGACTTATGTTTCGTTTAACATTTTTTTTAGTTATACAAGTTTTAATAAATATTTCATTCAATCTTTCACTAGTTGCTATAAGTTCTAAGTTAGGTTTTCCTAACTCAACCCAGAGCAAATTGCATCGAATAGTAACAATTCATGTTTTTATATTTTACTAGTCGTTGGCCAATAATTAGCATAACCAGTTCATTAAACAGCTTTGGAAATTTTGATTACACAATTATGAAAATGTTTTAAGTTGTTTAAATTACACACTTATTTTCAAACAAATTATCTCTCGGTGGGTCAGCATTAAGTCTCTGAACTTACAATGTTCAAATTCAAAGTTCAATTCTCCCCTGTAGACAGAGCGCAGATAGCTCATTGTGTAGTTTTGCACTAAAGACAATTAGCGATCATCAAACAATTGTTTGTTTGTTTTTTTAGAGCAAAACTACATTAGGCTATCTGTTGTGTCCGCCGTGGGGAATCGAACCCCGGATTTTAGCATTGTAAGTCAGTAAACTTACCACTGTCTTACTTAGGGCCGTCACCAATCAAACTATAAAAATATAATGTATAAACAAGCAATTAGGAAACATTTTTTTCAAAACTTTAAGATAAGAAATAAGTTATTTTGGAGACGCGCAGGATAAAAACAAATATAAAACTCCGGGCAATTAAACAAACTTTTTTAGTATGGTTTATGATATTTTTATGTTGGGATGATCGCGGCTCAATGGTTGATATGAAGTACTGTGGAGTTGGGGTTCTGAAGTTCAAAAACGTGGCTCTTTTGGTGCGTTATAAGAGTGACAGTTAAATTTCAATATTCGCCCGAGACGAGTGTCTCAAAAATTGATGGTGAGTGTTGTTGACTAGATGCCTTACCGCTATTTAATTACTTCAAATATTAGGAATAGCTAGTGCAGATAGCTCTTGTGTAGCTAGCTATACGTGAAATAAATAACAATCACAACAAACAAACAGTTTATCTTATTTCTTGACACCTCAAAAATGTTTCACCAAGTCAATTCAACGTTCAACTCGTAATCCTTCAAATGTTCAATTATGATACAGAGGATTAATCACACTTCATATAAAAGGATGTCAAATATGGTATTGAGGGTTAATCATACTTCATATAAAAGGATGTCCAAGGTTCCGTACTGTTTATGTGGATCTAATCCATCGACGATTGTTCTGTTGCTCGATACTGCAATTTTCATTGTAAAAAACCTTTTGTGAAGGAGAACAATATCTTAGAACAGACGCTTTGAGAAACTTTCCAGTGATGACAAATATTTTACTATAAGTGGATCTCGGCTTTCAAAACCACGTTTAAGCAGACCAAAGACACTTAAGTTCATAGGAGTTACGTTAGGAGACTTGACAGTTATGTGGTTGCATTAGATTGTTGCGTTTCTTACTTTGAAAACCACATCTCTCACAAAAACAACCGTTGATTTCAAAGTGTGGCTGAAGTTTGTAAGATTTTAGCTTGTGAGCCTTCGGCAACTTCTAATCCATTATTTCCACCTGCCCTGAATGTATTATACCTATCAATCAATCTTATTGATGAAGCGATAGAAGCTATTGTTAATCTCATTCACCTAAATCCAGATAAAACACAGGTTTATGATCTTTGCCTGACATTTTCAAAATGCCTGTAAGATGCATTGTCTGCAATAGCTACCTTGGAATTTCGTAACTCTGTTCACAGTCGATTTAAAGGAATTGTAAGGGAAAACAGAATGTGTCACTGTAACTGCAGTGATTTTCATTCATTCGCTTGAATAAATACTTCTGACACAGGGGTGGAAGCCAATAAATGACTCCTCTGCTAATATAACTGATTTGCATTGACACTCGGAATTACCACCTGGGTTCACTAACACAATGTTACAATTTTATCAACACACAAACATTAAATATACACTAGAAACTTCCTCTACTACGCCCCCCCCCCAGTTGCACACAGGTAAGTCTGCGGACTTACAGTGCTAGAAACTGGGTTTCGATACCCGTGGTGGACAGAGCACAGATAGACTATTGTATAGCTTTGTGCTTAACTACAAACAACAACCTTCTTTACTACGAATATACTCTCATTTCTTGATGTACTAATTCCTATTAAAGATAACTCAATCTACACAGCTTATATAACTGTAACCGTTATACAAATATAACAAACTACTACTGTGACGCAACGTTTCTAGAACTATAATGTACTTTGGCGAATGTTCTAGTTCTTACTAGATATAGGGTAGGCTGGTATATAAAAGAGGGGAATGTAATGTGTGAATA